CTGAATCGCATGTCCATAAAAATACCTTCCAAAACAACTAGCCCACAGGCTTGTCAACCATAGGAGCAGAGGCATCTCTGAATCGCGTGCTCCTACTGCTATCATCGAAATGAAACAGAAGCCTCACTGAATCGCTTGTTCATTCGAATAGCCATAACTTACTCTCAAAGAAAGCAGCGCACGACTCGGGGCACCACTCTCCTCGCCACAGGACAAGGTACTCAGCTGCTGCCTGAGTAGTTTTCCCATACGAGCCGCTCAGCAGCTTCAACTCATAGCGCCCGCTTGGTAGCGCTTTGATGACTTTGTAGGGCCCTCGCATCCCTGGGTCCAGCTTTCCAGTAGACTGGGAATACTTGACCGCGAACACGAGGTCACCGATCTGAAACACCCGAGCTGGACGTCGCTTCTCGTTAACTGTGGCATCTTGCTGAACACGATTCCTAGCTAGCAGCTCACTGGCTCTTGACCTGCACATCTCACGCCAGGCCTCTCGATTGGCCCGTGTATCACCAGCAGCTACGTCACGGATGAGATTTCGAATAACAGGTGTGGCACCGTCAGTGCCTATTAAGAGATTCATGGGCGATGATTGAGTGGTCTTTTGTTTGGTGATATTTAGGACCAATTGTAATTTCCATAACGTATCCGACCATGGCTGATTCTTATGGTTAGTTTCAATGCGGATCATATTAAGTATCGTTCTTATATACCGCTCTACTTGTCCGTTAGAGTGGTGCATCTCGGGCGTGATATAGTGTATGTCACAACCTAACTCTTTCATCCAAGTTACAAAGCGAGTAGCTTCGAACATGCGACCACGGTCGGCTACCAGGAGCTTAGGTACGCCAAACAACGATATAACATTAGATAATGCACATTTCAGTTCATCAGCGTCTTGGCGCTTCATCGGATAAAGTAAGCAATACTTGCTAAATGCGTCTACGACAGTAAGGACGAATTTATAGCCATTAGATAAAGGCAGAGGGCCTAATGCATCTGCATGTATGACGTTAAAAGGTTCGTCAGGTTTTTGCCAGGAAGTGATATATTGATGAGGCGCTCGTGGGACACGTTTCATGGATATGCAAACTAGGCAATGTGCAATGTATTTAGCGACAAATTGTCGTAAGCCAGGAAACCAGAAATGTTTCAAAATTAGGTGAACGGTCTTATCAAAGCAGATGTGCTCATGCTCATCATGGAAAATTCGCAAGAGGCTTAGACGATGCCCTTTGGGTATGTAACATAACAAACGTGATTCTTCACCGACTGGGCTATAACGGTAGTAAAGAGTGTCGTTTTGAAAAACATACCTAGTAGGGTCCAAACGACCTTCCCCTAATTGTTCAACAAGTAGTTTAGTTTCATCGTCTGCAGCTTGCGCAGTTTGTGCCCAATTACGAGGCCTACCGATAAGATTGACTTCGGCAGTTGGGTTGCGGCTCAAGTAATCAGCATGTGACATCATAGTGCCCTTGCGATACTCGATATCAAAGGTAAAATCCTGTAAGTACACCCACCAGCGTGCGACGCGAGGGAGTAGGTCCTTCTTTTTCTCTGTAGCCTTAAGGGCGTTGCAATCCGTCACTATCTTAAATTTTAAACCTACTAAATAGTGGCGGAAATGTTGTAATGCTTTAATAACCGCCAAGGTTTCAAGCTCATAGGAATGGTACCTACTCTCTGCACCTTGCGTGCTCTTACTAAAGTACTCTACTACGCGTTTTTTGCCGTCCTTATGAGTTTGCATCAATATTGCCCCATACCCGGTACTACTCGCGTCAGTATGTATTTCGGTTGGCAATTCCGGATCAAAGATGACAAGTATGGGTTCCGTAGTTAATTGGGTTATGATATTTTGGCGAACCTGCTCTTGCTCGGAACCCCAATGAAAAGGAACGTTCTTTTTCGTAAGCCGGGATATGCAAGCTGTTTTAGTCGCATAGCCCTCGATATAACGCCTAAAATAGCCAGCTAAGCCTAGAAATTGCCTGACTTGCTTAACGTTTTTTGGAGGAGGAGCATTTTTAAGTGCTTCGATTTTACGAGGGCTGGGTTTAACTTGACCTCTACTAATTACTCGCCCCAAATATTCTATCTCAGTAGCAAGGAACGTACACTTGCGTAAATTTATTGAGAATCCGGCTTTAGTCAGCGTTTCAAGGACCTGTTTAAGCAATTCGGTGCCTTCCTCAACCGTATTACTCATCAATAGCACGTCATCAACATAAACCAAAACAGAACCGGCCTCAATATAGGAACGCAGGGTCTCATTGATGATGCGTTGGTAAACTATTGGGGAATTCGTTAACCCGAAGGGCATTTTGACAAATTCATAATGTCCTTCCGGTGTAACGAACCCGGTCTTGTGAACCGACTCCTCATCAATAGGGATCTGATGGAACCCTGTTGCCATGTCCAAGCTAGTGAAAAACTTGAAGTTCCCTAATCGGTCTATGTGATCATCTATCAATGGCAAAGGATATCGCTCCCTAATAGTAAGACGGTTCAGAGCACGATAGTCCACACACATGCGGTCTGATCCATCCTTCTTTTTTACCAGTATTATGGGACTAGCGTACTGTGACTGAGATTCCCTCACAATGCCTTTGTCAAGTAAATCGCGTACTATCTCACGAACTTTCAATTTTTCTTGGTGTGCTAGTTTATACGGCCTATACGAGACTGGAGTATGGTCCCTAAGGTTGATGTGCATTTTACCGGTTGTGACTGTTGTCGTTGCAGTTCCCGAAATTAAGAATTCTTTGTATTCGGCCAATACTGACATTAATTGTTCTCGTTCATTGCCTTGAAGAGGCGTATTGACTGGCAATGTTTCATTAAAAATAGTTCCTACTTGCCTAATCTTGGCCGATCGTGTTAAGTATTGACGGTCCTTTGTCCTAATGAAAGTGACACCATCGCGGTTCAAAATATCCGTTCCAATAATTATCGGAGTAGTCATGCACTTGGACGGGACTACAACTAAATCCGCCTCGATAGAAATGTCGCTAAACTCTATTGTCAGTGTCACGTAACTATCGGCTATAATATCTTGGTTTCCGATTCCTCTCAATGTGCAATTGGCAGGTTTGGGCGTACACGAAAAATGTTTTAAAATATCCGAAGATATAAGCGAAATATTTAGTGCCCCGCTGTCAATTAGCACATCTACAGGAATGCCCTGAATTACTGCCGTAGTAATGTCGTTATTAGTTGAAGCGCCCTTCAACTGCTCCGAGCACAGATTAACGTTACGTTTGTTACGTTCTCCCGACCTATCTTTCGCAAAACAAGTCTGTTCTGTATGGCCCGGTTTCTTACAATAGGTACAAACGTTGGGACGTGTAGGTGTATCGCGCACCGATGGTTTCGATTCGACTTTATCTTCAACTTTAGGCTTCTTGTAGCAATTATAACTTTTGTGACCCGTTTGACCACACGTGAAACACTTTTTGTCCGATTGATTTACTAAAGGGCGTTTTTTAGCAACGGGAATTCGTTTTTCTTGCTTACTACAAGAAGGCTTTACATAAATGGACAAAAACGGAACTAAATTATCTGGAGTTAAGTTACCGTTAGTTGCTGCCGCCCTAATTAAAGGATCGGTGATGCCTCTTATGACAATCGAAACCATCAGTTCGTCACTTAATCCCTTAACTACTCGTAGGCGCAATATGGTCCGCCTTGCATACTCTGCATAGGTTGGATATTTATCGGAATTAACACTCATCGCTTCGTATAAAATATTCGCGTAATCAAGTCTGCGTGGACATAACGGTTTGAATTCGAGTACGAAATTACGCCACGAACGATCGTTCGATACCCACTCATGTAGCCAGGTTCGCGCGTCTCCTTTGAGACAGGCTGCTACTCGAGACAAACACTCATGATCATCCCAGCCATTTAAATATTTAGCACGTTCTACCTCTTTACACCAATCATCTATGTCGTGTATGGACGGATCGAAATTCGAGATAAAATAATTTTGAGAACGATTAGGTTTCAAAGATGCAATGGCATCGATTAAATCTTGCGTAGACGCAGGAGTCTTTACTAGATTTTCACAATCAACGTGGATATCAGGCATTACTTTTGCTGCACTATCACTAGTACGTGCTTCAGACGCTTTATTCAAATCACACTCGGTCGTCACTGTACATGTATTAGAAATAGTACCGTCCACTACACAAGCTGAAACTGTAGAATCGACACCCAGCGTGTGTGAACGTACAGGCGTACGTGAAATAGTTCCAGAATGCACACTTGCCGCACCTATCGATACATTTGTGGCCGATTCTTTCACTGGTTCTACGAATCGATTATTAGTTTCCGAATTAATACCCGTTGTGTTATTTTCTAATGCGCTAATCCGTGATAAAATCAAGTTTAACGTAGTAGATAGTGAATCGTTATCACGTTCGAGGGTAGGCGTTCGCGTGCACGACCGTATGCGAGACCGAGATCTATGACGAGCCCTATGACCAACATCGTGTCGACGGGTTTTGCTTCGCGACCGCCGTCGATGGTTAGGCATAATTGCAACGATATATCAAAGCTCACATAAAACACAAAACACAAAGAAAATCACTATTAAAAAAAAATGAGGCGATACTTTGTCCCACACAACGATCTGTTAAATAACTAACCGGTTTTATAAGGCCAGATGGGCTTGAATTCGAATCCCACTTCTGATTTTAGAGATCAAAAGGGGTAGGTAATTTTAAAATAAAAATCAGGAATTTTGTTAACTTTTATAAATATCAAAACTAATTAATTTTACACAAAGTGGAACAAAATAACGCTTAAAAATCAAAAAGACAAACCAATCACAGCCACAAAACTCGTCGATCACGAATCCGATGTTCCGATGTCAACCGTCCAAGTGCCGCCGCAAAAGTGGCTGCGCGCCGCCGCCCGGGTCGTGCTCGTCGAAACCCGCTCGTAACGGTTCGATCGCGCCACCCGAGTGACGTCACAACCGCCTTACGCTAATACTATTATTATGCTTGTTGTGTAATTGTATTGTATTATTGTGATATTGTATTAACACGTGGCTATGTGGCTGCGCCAGGCCTATTATATTGACACCTGGCCAATTGATGGTGACATGCCACGGGGTCGGGTCGGTAGTTTGATGACCAGTATAAAGAAGGACAATGCTAATAGTTGCCGGTTATGTTATGGTACAAAACCTAAGTCGTAACCTAACCTAAACCTAATTCTTAACCTAACCTAAACTGCGCCAGGCCTATTATATTGACACCTGGCCAATTGATGGTGACATGCCACGGGGTCGGGTCGGTAGTTTGATGACCAGTATAAAGAAGGACAATGCTAATAGTTGCCGGTTATGTTATGGTACAAAACCTAAGTCGNCGCTAATAGTAGGGTAAACATGATTGTGTCAGAAGGAAATCTTTAAAGTTCGCGTCGCAGAAGGTGCGATTTATTTGATGTTGAGTATATTTGACGCTGACTGTATTATCTGTGTAGGGGTTCACACTTATGAATAAACAGTCGCATTTAGATCGCACTCGGACGCGGCTGTTTCATTCCGCCTCCTCACACTGGCTAGACACACACACACACGCCCGCTCCTATACGTGGTGACCCCGACGTGATATCCGACGTGACGTGACGTGACCCCGCTCCTATATCTGTATAATTATCTAGGTATTTTGTGGTTAAGGATTCCAGGTAAATCTCTCTTCCATCTTAGATCTGATACACTTCTACATTGTGAGAAAAACTCATAAAACTAATTTATTTTTGCAAATAAACCTTTAAAAAGCACTTTTGCACGTCCCAGTATTCACCCTACCACTGCTTCGGGACAATAAATGGGCCAGTGCTGAGAAGAAGCAGCGCAAGAAACTCAGTCACTATTATCAGCATTGTAAAATATTATTACTATACTATAACTAAATAGATGTAAATAATTAGCCCTGATACTCTTTGAAAAACCTAGGTTGTCAACTTCAATGGTTGACTGAATGGAAGAAAAAACCTTATAGTAAAATGAATTCGAAATTGGATCACTTTCATGCTAATTATCATAATTAAGTATTAGGGGCACTTATACACAATATTTTTATTGCCTGCGACATATCCCATCGTAGGAGCGGATCAATTTAGAATAGATAGTTTTCTTTATATTTTAGTTACATAATTTTTCTGTCAAACTTTTAAATCGTGATTGCCACAAGTTTGGTTTTCGGTAGATAATTGGTTTTACTAATAAAGGGACGATATGATCGGAGGTTGAACCAAGGATTCCATGCGAGGTGAGTCACCGCGAGGTGATAACACCTGTCGGATTTTAGTCGGCAAATTTTTCTCTAGTCGACTTTGCCTGGAAGGTAATTTACATCTTTTGCGTGATAGTGTTTTGTTTAGCTGTCATTGTGTTACGATAAGTTTAAGGCTGCGTTACACCATCATTTACTTACATCATTACTTTGACTTTAACAAACGTCAAAGATCTGTTAAAGTACAAAAAACACCGGTTATCGTTATAGTTACAGTCAAAGTTAGGTGGTAACAACTCGCGTCCTTATTCACTAACATTACTATGAGGTCTCACAGTGCGCGTGGACGCACATGGTGACATACGAACCAATCACAGAGCTCTATTCAACGCTGTGCGTTCGATTTGCTGCTTCACTTAAGCAAGCATTGTTTGTGAATACAGGCGTCCATCCTAATAAATAAACTTCCTTTTGCCTCTAATAAATTGGTGGAGGCTGTCCTTCTTTATCGGAGGCTAACAATACGATAAGTCATAGGCAGGTAAATATGCCTACGAAAAGTTTTATACATCCTATAAGATGTTTAATAACTGAATTTTATTACTTTGAGAGTCACAGCATTCAGACTGACTTATACCTTTAGCCTTTACCTTTGAAATAGGTACATTAATTGGTTTTTAATTTGGATAAGTGCACAAGTACTTAGTTTCTGGTCTCAACTCTAAATTGAAATCGATTTTTTAGATTAATTAAAACGTAAATTGTGTTGCATTCATGTTCTTACTTAAGTTATAAGAAACCCTCTGTGATGAAAATCTACGTCTTTTTCTTACTGCTATAACAATACCAAACAATATTGCTGTGAAAATCAAATTCCACAAAGGCGTGGGCAAAAGCTAGTCCTACAAAATTTTCTAACACGTACAATATTTATTTATCCGCTGCAATAATGTCTACTTTGCAAGGCTAACGGAGTGTAGGCTGGACATAGCTTAGATATCCGACCTGGGAAGTGAACCTGGGACTACATTTCTCGGGCTTAAGCTGTAACCACTCCTACGCAGTCATGCTTCTGGGAGAGAGGTGGTAATAAATATTTGTTGAAAGGCGCTTTCACACTTGCGCGATAAGCCATCGACTAAGAGTAGGCCCACACCGTTGATTTTTCGTCGGCCGATAGTTTAGTCGGGCAGTTGATCAGTATGGGCATGTATGGGAGTGCGCACACTACGCCGATTCGATTTGGCCGATTCTTCATACAATTTGAAATCGGGCACAACTATCGGCCAACTAAAAATCAACGGTGTGCGCCTACTCTAAGAGTCAAAGCACACGACGCGTTGCGCCCACAGACCATACAAATTAAAGCGAGATGTGAAAAGGGGGCGGGGCTGGTGTCGCAGCAATATGCCCAAAAACAGAATACATTGCTGCAGACGTCATAATGTAAACAGTTTACACTGCTTGCGTAGTAGGTACTAAAGATTATTCAAACGTTAAGTACCTACTCATACTGCAGTGGATAATGAGCACATATTTTGATTACTTTGTTTGAGTCAATTTCTAATGCGACACTGAGTTTCGAACTAAGCGCATTAGTTGGAATCTCTATGGTTGCGCCGCACCGCAAATATTTCGCCGTTTTGCGCGACGCGGTTCACCGCACCGCATGTGTGCCCGCCACAGATATTTCTATGAAAAGAGGATCATAGAGCCAATGACAGGTCGCACAACCCATGATAGACCTCGCGACCTGTCATTGGCATAAGATCGCGCCGGCGATGGCGATCTGCACGTGTTGGTGTGGTTGAAGCGAAAGACGACGCAGCTACACCGCTCCGCTTCGTACCGCCAACGCATCGTGTGCATTGGCTCTTGAACTCTTCTAGCGAGAATTTTCAAAGCTCATTTATATATTTTTAAACTACTTAACCTCCTTTTTTGACCCAGGATGCTGAACTGGGTAAGCGTACTGTGCGTTGATTATGATAATTTAGTGAATTCATTAAGACCTTACTTCTTTAGATAGACTTTTCTTAAAAGAGTATTGTTTTCTTTAAAGCTTCGTCGTCGTCGTCGTTCGTCGTTTCAGCCGAAAGACGTCCACTGCTGGACAAAGGCCTCCCCCAAGGATTTTCACAAAGACCGGTCCTACGCCGCTTGAATCCAGGTACTTCCCGCGACCTTCACCAGATCGTCGGTCCACCTAGTGGGAGGCCTGCCCACGCTACGTCTTCCAGCTCGTGGTCGCCAGTCAAGAACTTTCCTGCCTCAGCGGCCATCAGCTCTTCGAGCTATGTGCCCCGCCCACTGCCACTTGATTTTAGCGATTCTGCGGGCTATGTCAGTCACTCTGGTTCTCCTACGGATCTCCTCAATTACTCTTTAAAGCTTAATTACTCTTAAAAACATTGATACCATGGTTAAAAGAAAATTTTTAGTTCCTGAAAGATAATTCAGCATTCAGTAGATGACCTAAGCAAAATGAGAAGATGAAGTTGTAGAAGTGATAAAAAATAGTACCGTAACCGTAAATCTGTTAAATGTGGGTAGTTATTATTATTATTTTTATTAAATAAATACCACGTCTTGGCAAACCCCCTGCTTGATGGATTGACAATCAAAAGAAAATAGCGGCTGCCTGAACATAGTGGGAAGAGTACGTCCAAAAAAACGGGTCTATTCCCACCACCACTGCAACTCCTGTGTAGCCAGGATCTATATAGCGTGACCGCTAATAAAAACCCAACCAGTGAAGGTCAAGTTTGTCCCGGGGGAAAGATAAACTGTCAATGGACCCGCAACGAAATGAATCAGAAGAAAATAGGAGGAATTCGAAGTTAATGTTCGGCTTCCCTCCGTTGCAAAGCGGATGACAGGTGACAAAACAAAGGTTTTAGTAACTTTAATGAAAAGATATGCATCACAGATGATTAGTACGTCCAGCAGTGGACTGCAAAAGTCTGAATATAAGTTACACGTTAAGTGCAGTATAGTGTGTGGTCGCCTTACACTGTGTCGTCCGCACTGACCCGCTTCGGCGGACGGCGGACAATGGGCCTCATAACTTCATAATAATTCCCATTCTCTAGTATCCCCGTTCTTGGAATAGGCTAGGGGATAAACTTATTTTATTTGTAGTGAAGCCTTCTAATCTATTATAATAAAAATCAATAAATAAGAAAGTATCCCGTTATCGTGATGTTAAGCGGAAATTTCGAAAACGACTGGACCATAAAGTTAAAATTCTGAACCTAGAACCCCTATTGCCACTATCTTAACTTACTCACGCCCGTATTTACAAACTTTACTATGAGATATCACAGTGCGCGTGGACGCACAGGGAACACGAACCAATCACAGAGCTCTATTCAACGCTGTGCGTTGGGTTTGCTGCTTCACTTAAGCAAGCATCGTTTGTGAATGCGGGCGTTTTTACTCCGATGGTTTAAAAACCCAAAGTGTATCTTTGCCTCCGTCTAGAGATGTCGCTCGTGTCGCCATTTGCCTCGGTCATTTCATGTCAGTCACCTGCTTTAAGCTCACATACAAACGATGTAAATATATTTTTTAATGATTTTAATGTTTTATTAAATTAAATAAATATTTTAAATGTTAGAGGAATACTATTTAAAGGAAGTATCCTATCTCTAAGCCTATAGTGTCCATCTAAGCGGTCCACCCCACACAAGTACAAATACGAGAAATGTACACGAGTCGCCAGTTCCGTGCCACGTTTTGTAATATTTGCGAAGCTTTGTTTTCACGGATTGATACCAAAAAGGTATATTTTATGCGATACCCACACATCTATTTTTTTATCCACAACGAGGAAGCTCTTGGCCTGTATCTCACCTGATGGTAATTGATGATCAGGCCGAAGGTGGAAGCGAGCTTCACCCGGAATTCTCAACCACGGAGGAATTGGCTATCTTACCTCTAACTGCCGGAACACAACAATGCTGTTAACATTGTTGTTATGGCCACAGACTTAGGTAAGATGGTGGTAGCTAGCCAGGCGGACTTAGAACAAGCCCTACCACCAACCAAACCGAACAGAAAAATCTGCCCCCACGGGAATCGAACCCGGGACCTCTGCGTCTGAAGCAGGTGGTCTTACC